AAAAATTTCAACAATAAATTTTTGAATTTTAGGAAAATTACTACTTTTTTCGGTCTTAAATATACTGTTTGCAATTCCGAATTACTATTAGGTTGTGTTTCGTTGAAAAGCCAAAAAATAGCGTAAGTAAAATTTTTTATTATAATTACACTTAGGTATACGATAAATGTTTTTCTTTGCGGTTCGAGTAAAGATTTGAAATTAGAATTTAATTTTTTACCTGTTAAAGCGTTAATTTGAACACGTGCTCTTTTTGCGAATTTCAAAGGGGCAACAAGTATAACAAGTCTGATGGGGTTTCCTTCCTAATTGGAAGAAGCGCACCCCACTTTGTATGGGGATTAGCTTTTAGTTGGAGACACGTGCTTTTAAACTGCCACTAATTACACTTCAAATTTTCTGTTTTTTTTCCTTTTTCTTTTTCTTCCTCTTCCTCTTCCTCTCCTCTATACTGAAACTTATGTTTTAACTTCGTCTCCACAGTTTGTTCGCAGGAACTGATTTTGTATTTTACTTTTAAAAAGGCCTTAAATTACGCATTAAATTAAAATAATTTTAATTAATATAGATTTTTGACTGAATCATAAACGCATGAGAGTCGGGGCCTCGACAGTTTTCCCTATTAAAATTTTTTTTTTTTAATAAAGTTTTTAGAATTCCTTTTTGTTGTAGAAGCTATTAACAATGAAAGGCAATCATTATTTTTGTTATTTAATAATTTTTTTATTTTAGGGGTTTGACTAGAATTCCTAGCCAGAATCCCAAGTAGGGTGTTCAGTAGATTTTAGATAGGGTACTGATCAGGGCCTCGACAGTTTTCCTCGTTTGAATAAAGTGTAAATGAATTTAATTTTTTAAAATTAACTTTTTTAAAACAGTTATATTTAAGTTAAAAAAGCGTGTTCTTTTAAAACACTTTACAAAATAATTATGGTAATATATTTAAAAAACGAAAATACATAAAATTTTTTTTTCTTTAAGTACAATATTATAATAAAGTTTATTTATTAATAATAACAACTAAATTATAAATAACGAATAATAATAGTTATTAAATAATTAATTATTATACATTTATTTAAAAATAAAAATTATGAATTTAAAAAATAATAATTAATAAACAATTATTAATAAATTATACTTAATGAATTTTAATAATTATTAATTTATAGGATGAATTTATCATTTGGTTTCTATATATATTATATTATTTTAATAATAATTGTTTTATACTATATTAGCTTAAAGTGAGAAAATTATTCGGAGAGATTGTTAAATTTAACACCTTTAATATTTAATAACTATTTTTTAAACATAATTAATAAATTTGAATAAAATATTTATTAAATAAATATTAATTATTATAGATCGGGAAAACTGTCCAGTACCCTATCAGGTCCACATTTTAATTTCTGCACGGGTAATGAATTTAAACATTTAATTTACATACTAAGACATATAATTTATGCGTTTTTCAAAAATATTGAATTTTGTAAAGTTTCAAGATGTAAACGCAGTGTCAGACTTTGTATTTTCTCTGTCAATGAATTAAAAAACACATGAATTGAATTAAAATGATGGAAAAGAAGACTATAATAAATTGCATATATAATATTGTTTAATCGGAGTATTATTTTTAATTTCGAAGAGACTGTGGGAGAATATAAAGAGAGAGTAAGAGAGAGTTAGCCGCATCAGTCGGTAAGCGACTATACAGCGTATATCTTCTTTTCTATCGTTTTAGTTTTGTTGTCGTTGGATACTTAGCCGTCGCACAAAAACCGCGAAAAAAGGTATGAAATAAGCGCAAAGAGAGGAGAGTTGATATACATATAACCATAACGTGTGGGTGTATATATAATCGCGTCAGATCAGCGAGGCGTCAATAGCTGCAAGCTTATCACGCACACAGAGAGATGTACATATAGAGAGAGGCCCTTTAGTGGCGAGGGAAAAGGAACCAAAGCAGACGCCGACGTTGGGGTGAAAGGGGGTGGGTGTCGAGGGTGCTTTCATCACAGAGAGGACACCCCCTTTTAGTGGCTACTGCTTCTTCTTGCCCCTCGTGTCTGCTTTCCTGCCTAGTGCCTGCCCGCCCGCTCGTTCATCCGTTTTGCCAGTTCAAGGTGGTTGCGTTCATTAACGGGGTTCGAGGATGCCGAGACACACCGAGAGTTCACTTTTTTTCACCTTTTTTCATCTTTTTTGTTTTTTTTTTTTCCCTTTTTTTTATGAATATTTTCAATATCTCACTCTGTACTGAGTTTTTTTTTTTCATTTGCGCTATGGAATTGTTTTTTTTCTCTATATATTATACAGTTCTATAGTAAATAGAGTACAGGCTTTGCACTCATCTACTAAAATCTACTATTTACTACTTTTTTACCAATTACTACTATTTAGTTACATTTTTTTTTAGATTTGTCACTCAAGACGCTACTTTTTTTAGATTAACACTACTTTAAATGCGCTAAAAGTTGAAATAAAAAAAATATTCTCAAAAATTTTAATAAAATTCTTAGAAACTATTCAATTATTTTCAAAAATGTTTTGAAATTCAATTTTCGATTAAATTTCAATACTTATTAATAATATTTCCAATATTCACACATTTATTTATTTTATTTATTTATTTATTTATTTTTATTTTTTTATTTATTTATTTTTTTTATTTTCACACATTTTCCAAATAGAATTCAATTATTTTCATAAGTAATACAATTTTTACAGGAATTTAATTATTAAAAATACAATTTTCATTAGATTTTTGTTTGAAAAAATCAACTTTTTTCATAAAATTATTATTATTATTATTATTATTATTATTTTATTATTAATTATTATTATTTTATTAAAAATCAATTTTTTTCATAAAATTATTCTCAGAAAGTCAATTATTTAAAAAAATTTTTTTTTAATTGTAAGCAAAAATTCAATAATCTTCAAAACGAATAAAATTTTTCAAAGAAATTGAATTACTTTCTATAAATAATAAAATTCTTGACAGGAATTCAATTATTTTTAAAAAAATTTATAAAATTCTTCGTAGAAACTCAAATATATTTTGAAAATTTTAATAAAATTCCACCAAAGAATTCAATTATTTTCATAAATAATAAAATTTCTCGCACTACTTCAATTATTATAAAAAAATTTCAATAAAATTCTTTATAAAAAAAATAAATAAATTTTCTTTATAAATAATAAAATTCTTCGCAGAAATGCAATTATTTTTAAAAATGTAAATAAATATCTTCGCAAGAATTCAATTATTTTTATAAATAAAAAAATTCTTCACAGAACTTCAATTATTTTTAAATTTTGTATTTAAATTCTTGTCAAGAATTCAATTATTTTCAGGAATATTAATATAATTCTTGACAAAAATTCAATTATTTTGATAAATAATTAAATTCTTCCCAAAAATTCAATTATTTTCAAAAATTTTAATAAAATTCTCCCTAGAAATTCAATTATTTTCAGAAATTTAAATAAAATTCTTCCTAAAAATTCAATTATAATAAAAAATATTAAAAATTAAAATACTTTAAATACATTCAAATTATTTTGAATATAATTTTAAACAAATTCTTATCTTTGAAATTTATAAAATTTCATAAATAATAAAATTTAAGCAGAAATTCAATTATTTAAGGTATAAATTTCATTAAATTTTTACAAAAAACCATAAATTTAAAAGAATTTTAAAATTTGTTAAATTTCAATTTTTTAAAAATTAAAAATTTTTAATTTTAAAAATAAAATTCTTCGTGAGAATTCAATTATTTTCAAAAATTCAATTTTTTTCCTAAATAATAAAATTTTTCTTAATAATTCAATTATTTTCAAAATTTAAAAAAAAACCATGAAAAAAAATTCAATTATTTTCATAGAAACCAAAACTCTTTGCAGGAATTTAATTATTTTCAAAAATTTTAATAAAATTCTAAGTAAAAATTCAATTATCTTGAAAAATAAACAAATTCTTCACAGAAATTAAAGAATTCAAATATTTTCATAAATAATAAATTCCTTGTACTTTAATAAAAATTTTGAAAGCAATTCAATTATTTTAAATATAAATAACAAATGTCTTTGTAAAACTTTATTTACATTTGAAAATTTGAATAACATTTTTCGCAGAACTTCCATATTATTTTCAAAAATTATCTTTGTAAATAATCAAATTTTTCCCAGAAATTGAATTATTTTCATAAATAATAAAATTCTTCTCGAGAATTCAATTATTTTCACAAAGTTTTCGAAATTCAATTATTTTTAATATCTACTGTTGTAATAAAATTATTTTCAAAAAGAATTATAAATTATTTTCATAAATAATAAAAGACCTGCAAGAAATTAAATTACTTTGAATACAATTTTAATAAAAATTTAAAAAATAACTGAATTATTTTTATAAATAATAAAACGTATCGCAGAATTTCAATTATTTTTCACTCAATTTTCAATGAATTCACCCGAAAAATGCAATATTATTCTTATAAATTTTATTAAAAGTCTTTCAAAAGAATTTCACTATTTTAAGAAATTTTGATAAAATTCTCTATAAATAAGAATTCAATTTTAAAAAAACCAATTATTCAATAAATTATTTATGTTTATTTTTAAATAATTAAAAATTATTAGTCGTGCAAAACTTTCTAATATAATAATTAATTTAAAAATGAATTTTAGTTAAAATTTTAGATAATAATTATTAGCCCTCCTACGGTTTTATCATTTTTCAATTTTGCAGGAAAAAAATTTATAATTTTGTTAAAATTAATTTTTACTGTTTCATATTTATTTTTTTAACTACTTTAAAAACTATTTAGTTAGCTATTTAAAAATCTACTATAACTACAATCAAACTAAAATTGTTAAAACCAAAAATGAAACTTTATTTCAAAGAAATATTCTAAATATAAATTGAATTAATACTAATTTTCACACATAGACAGACGTACGAAATCCTTATTGAAAATAGAAGATAAAATTATCCTGGTATAATTCTCTTGAAAATGAATTGAATCTATTTGCTAAAAGAAGAGGGAAATATGTTTAAAGCTTATATTTGCTAAAAAGAACTCTAAATATTAATAAAGTTATGATCTAATATAGATATGATCTAATATAATTATAGAACAACCTACCCGTAGAGGAGAAAATTAATTAGATCAATGGAATAGACAACGGTTGCGCATAGGGTGCAGAAAATACCGATAAACAGCAAAACACCAGAGGCATACAACTTCCACTTATAGGGACCATATTCACCAGCGTTAACAACCATGTAAAGAATTACTGGTATAACCGCGCCCAAAACACCTAAACAAATCGCTCCAACTAGTCCGGTGAAAATTTCAAGTCTCGGCACTGCCGCTCCTAATCCACCTTTTTTTCAAAAAAAGAAAAAAATTTTTACAAATTTTTATAAAAATAACTCTGCTGTCCAAAGTAAAAACCAAGTAACCACATTTTCCGTAAGGAAAATGTAGTTACTAGGTTTTTACTTTGGACAAAACGTTTTCCTTACGAAAAATGCGGTTACTAGGTTTTTACTTTGGACACCGCAAAGAAACAATATCTTTACTTTTTAAGACTACAAAAATTTTGAACTACAAAAAAGTGATGGAAATTTTGAATTATACATGTAATTACTGTCACGCCGAGACGAAGCAAAAAGAACCAGAGTAATTCAGTTCTTCTCTTGTGAGTCGAACGTTCAATGGAATTAATCACATATTTTTCGTGTATTATTAAAACCGGTAGGTAGCACATTAGTCCGTAGGTGAAGTATATCGACAACACTTGCATGATAAATGCGGCTAATGTTGCTCTGGAAAAAGAATTTATTACCAATCTCTTGCAATTATCACGTTCAAATTTTCAAACCCAAAGTTTGTTCTTTTTTTTCACAAAGTTAACTAAACAAAACGCGCCAAACAAAACCCAAACAAACGAAAAAAAGAGAAAAATTCTTACGCATCGAGTTCCGGATGATTCCTAATGAAATTCGGTTTAGAGTCTTGACCCCATTTAGCGTATACTGCACCACTGACAATCAAGTAAAATATCATTACAAATATCATTCCCACATCAAGAATACCGCACGGTTTTTCATAATCCCAGGGTTTTTTCATGTTCCTCTCGATCTCTAATATCTGTACAATACAATATGCTATTATTCTAAAATTATTAATCCTAATTTTATGTTGAAATTATAACAATAAAATTACCAATCCCGGCGAACAGAGACTGAAAAATATCGCTCCAATGAATCTCGGATAGACTTTCATGTCAGGCTGAATGGACAGCCAAGTGTCTCCGAAACCATCTTTAACGGCGTAAATGAAACCAATTCCACACGAAAGTATAACGAATAAATTGCCCATTATTGACAGTGGTGTTATGTCATTTAAATTTCTCATCAAATTCACAAGAAATAAAAAGGGAAACAACATCAGAGCGTAACTTCCTTGACCAACGCTCTTCCCTGGATCGACTATTTCTTGAATAATTCCCGAGATAAAGACCACATAGACCGAAGAGATTCCAATATACGAAGCGAATAGGGTCACGTTCACCAGAAGTCTATCAAAGAGTATATGAAACTAATGAAATGAATATGGAAACAATAAATTTTTGTTTATGCATTTTTTACAACGGATTAGAAGATAACTATAATGCTGATGGACATTATATTTTGAAGATTCATTTATTAAAGATTCGATAAAGACTAATTAAAAGATTATTAAAAGATTATTAGAAGCACTGTTTAGTAACTTAATAGCGAGCTTAATAGTATCAAATTGCAATGAACAGATACCAAAAATGTGGATCAAACAAAAAATAGATCCAAATTTTTGACATCTTTATGATCCACTTTGGTATCAATTTGATACTTTTAAAAAAACTGTGATAATGCAGGCACTTTTGGTATCAATTCGTTGCAATTTCATACCTTCGAGTTCTAATTTTTTAATTTTTAATTTTCTAATTTTTTGTTCTAATCTGTTGTAAAATGCATTTCAAATTTATTTTTTAAACAACAATTTTTTTACGTTTTCTATTTCAAAATATCCTAAAAAAAACTGCGAAGAAGACATCAAAACACTTACACCAGACACCTAGAGATTTTTGTATCCTTCAGAGCGCCGGTTGCGAGAACACTTTGACAGAGTTGTTCGTATGTTAGAAATGATTTTTTTTCAATGGTACACATTTTGTAATGAGTCTTAACCAGCATGTGGAGTGTAATCGTCAGGCAAATTCCAAGAGTGAATATACCGCCTATTCCAGTGTACATTCCAACGGCAGCAAAAGCATTGGGTAGAGTAAAAATTCCAGTGCCTATTGCACTTTTCACCATATTCGCGCATGAGCCGAAATTTCTAAAAGCGAAAAAAAAAGTTTATACGAAAATGATTAAATTAAATAAACCACGATTGAAACTATTTTTAAGAATGGTAAAGAAATATACGAGACACGTTTGTTCGTCTCTTCACGATGATCGTAAGGATTGTAGTCAGTATCCGCAGATCGATTAGTATTTTCGGCATCTCCTTTTGTTTCAGCCCTAAGACGAAAAAAAAATTAATCATTACTTTCTTTCTTTTCTCTCTTACTTCTCGAAAATTTTTTCACTGTTATACTCACATTTTTTTGGTTCTATTATTAATTTCTATTTTCTGTTAATATTTTCTATTTTCTGTTAATATTTTCTATTTTCTGTTATTATTCTCTACTTTCTGTTATTATTTTCTAGTTTCGGTTATTATTTTCTATTTGCAATTATTATTTCTTGTTGTATTCTTTTTAAATCTATTTTTTGTTGTTCTTTTCTAATATTCTTCTAGTTTTTTTATCTCCTAGTTTTCTCTTCCAAATTAATTTTCCATTTCTCAAATCCTATTCCTTATTTTCTAAAAGGAAATTTATATCAACATTTTTTTAAACTACAAGGAACATTATTTATCGATTTTTCGCACAAGTTTGAAGAAAATGTATGAAAAATAGAAGAAAAATAACCACACTGATGGACATTGACAAAAAACGGGCGATTTTCTTTTTAACGTAAATATCAGCTTGTTGTGTGAAGTGGGCAAAAATTAAAAACGAAACAAACGTCTTACTTCATTCACACTTCATTCAGAGCTGTTCAGAGCTGTTCGAAACTATTCTCAACTCTTCTCGAGAAAAAGGGAATCTTGCACCAGAAACTTCGTAAATTGACAAAAAAAAAATTAATTCCAAAAAAATAAAAAACCAAAAAAATTCTATTTATAAATAAAAAAAAGTTGAGTAGAAATTTAAATTCGGCAGGAATCATAATAACTTTTTCCCATAAAATAGTTAAAAAGGTTAACTATTTACTAAAAACAGGTGCGACAAAAAGGTTAGAAAAAATTTTATGATATAACTAGCTGTCGTACCCGTCTTCGACGGGTTTTAGTTTCTACCAATACATTTAAGTTTCTACCAATCTGGAAAATCAGGAAATAGCTAGGGAATTTAATTTGACCGGAAAAAAATAATAATTAGTTACCATTATAGCTATTTTAGTAGGAAAATATTACTATTTGAATCAGTGATTGACTTTTTGTTATCAAATTAGTTATTTTAACCAATTCAAATGCAGAGAAGAATATTTATCAATTTGTAGTACTTTAATTAATGTATTAAAAAAATTAAATTTTCCATACAGTTTTTGGAGTTATAGTAGAGTCTAATTGGAACTAATTGTATCGCAAGTAGACCCTACGTTACGACTGCTAAAACCTAACATAAGACCTAAATTTTAGGCTGAAAGTAGGGCTTAAATTTTGACTCGGGTCTGTTTTCATAAATATTATACATCAATAAAAATTGAAGTAAAAAGCAATTTTTTAAAAGCGAATTAATATAATGAAACTTTTTCTTAATTTGATAGGAAAATTCCCGGTTCGGCATATTCCCAGCTTTTTACAGTTTTTCCCGTTTGGTAGATACCCAGTTAAATGTATTAGTATAAACAGAAAACTGTACGACAGCAAGTAATACAATCTATATTTATATGAACTTAAGAAACAGTATTTTCATAAAATAAGTAAATTTTTATAGCCATTTGTAGATTTATTTATGGATAAAATCAAGTAAATTTAAATTTGACAAAAAAGAGATAAACCGTGAAAAGTTTGGACAAAGCAGGGAATTTTGTTAAACAAAAATAGACACCGTGTTAACTTTTGTCTTTACATTGCTCAAAACATCTCTTAAAGTTAAATCTAGAGTTAAAATGAAAAAACGTTTTAACATGTAAGTTTTTGCCTAGTGGCATAATATGCTTGTATTGTATCACAGGTGACTTACAATTCTTGACATCCTGCGAAATCATTTTAATCATAAAAAATTTCCATTTTCAATATTTCTGAACTTCTTGAAAATATTAGATTGATTTGATAAATAATTTTGAATTGCACTATTTTGACATCAAAATATTAATCAGAGACTCCAAAAATACTACTGAATTATACTTTATATAGTAATTAGTATCGATTTTTTGATATATTGAAAATTTTTTTATATTTCTTGTAGGATAGTATTTTTTGCAAAATTATGATAAAATCTGACTAAATAACATATAATATTCATTTTTAGAAAGTTTAAAAGCTATCCATTAAAAATTGTGAAATTTGGAAATTTTCCATTTTTCAAGTTTTTGAAAATATTTTTATATTTACATCTTAGTTGTAGAATAGTATTTTTTGAAAAATTATGCTAAAATGTGACCAAATAACATGTAATACTCAAATATAGAAAGTTTAAAAGCAATCCATAAAAAAATGTAAAATTTTGAAATTTTCGATTTTTTGAAAACATTTTTATACTTACATATTAGTTATAGGACTTTATTTTTTGCAAAGTTATGCTATAATGTGACTAAATAACATATAATACTCAAGTATATAAACTTCAAAAGCAATCCATGAAAAATAAAAAATTTTGAAATTTTCGATTTTTTGAATTTTTCGAAAAAATTGAATATTTCCCGTTCTAATTAATATTTTTTAAATCTGTAAATTTATAAACCTTCCTTGGGTCAATACCTAATAACCTACCAAGTTGGACTTAAATCGATTCACATGTTTTTGTGTGATTGGGGTACAAAGTTTTTGTGACAGACAAACATACATACATACATACATACATACATACATACATACATACATTAAATTTTTTAAGAACATTTTTGGAATCTCTGATGTCCATAATAACTAATCATGTTAACATTTTGAAGTTTTAAGCAATGTACAGACAGACATCTGATTTTATTAATAAGGATTATTAAAATTATTAATAAATTAACTAATTCATTATTATTTATTTTTAAACGTTCCAATAAAATTTTTCGTCACAATTGAATTACTTACAAAAATTTTAATGAAATTCATAGAAACAATTCAATAACCTATTTTCAAAAATTTTAATAAAATTTTTTTATAAGAATTAAAATATTTTTTTAAATAATAATACACTTAGCAAAAATTTAATTATTTTTATACATAATAAAATTTTTTAAAAATACAATAAAATTCTTTATAATATAAATAAAAAAATTCATTGAAAAAATATAATAATTATATTTATTACTTTCATAAACAATAAAATCTTGACAGAAAATCAATTATTTTAAAAAAAATTTATAAAATTCTTTGTAGAAATTCAATTTTATTTGAAAATTTTAATAAAATTCTTCCAAAGAATAGAATTATTTTCATAAATAAAAAAATTATTACCACAATTCCAATTATTTCCAAAAATTACAATAAAATTCTTCATAAGAAATTAAATTATTTTCAAAAATAATAAAATTCTTCACAGGAATTCTATTATTTTCAAAAAAAATTTTTTAAATATTTTTTATAAGAAATAAATTATCTCTATAAATATAATAAAATTAAATGCAAAAATTTTTCAATTATTTTCAAAAATAAAACAAAAAAAAACGCAGAAATTCAATTATTTGTAAAAATTTTAATAAAATTCTCAGCCAAAATTAAATTATCTTGATAAAATATAATATTCTTTATAAAAATTGAATTACTTTCATAAATAATAAAATTATTGACAGAAATTCAATTATTTAAATAAAAAATTTATAAAATTCTTTATAGAAATTAAAAATATATTTTGAAAATTTTAATAAAATTCTTCCAATGAATTCAATTATTCTCATAAATAATAAAATTCCTCGCACTAATTCAATTATTATCAAAAATTCCAAAAAAAATTCTTTATAAGAAATAAATTGTTTTTGTAATTAATAAAATTCTTGACAAAAAATTCAATTATTTTCATAAAACCCAAAACTATTCTCAGGAAGTCAATTATATTCAAAAATTTTAATAAAATTCTTGACAAACATTCAATTATTTTCATAAAAATCGAAAATATTCTCAGAAAGTTAATTATTTTAAAAATTTTAATAATAAAATTCTAATCGAAAATTCAATTATCTACGAAAATAATCAAATTTTTTTCAGAAATTAAATTATTTTCATAAATTTTAATCAAATGCTTCGCAAAAATTCAATTATTTTCAAGAACTCTAATAATCATCTTGACAGAAATTCAATTTATCTTCATAAATAATCAAATTTTTCCCAGAAATTAATTTGTTTTCAAAAATTTTAATTAAATTCTGACTAGAAATTCAATTATCTTTAAAACATTTAATACCTATCACCCTTCCTAAAATTATTTTCAAAAGTTTTTATAAAATTCTTTATAAGAATTCAAGTATTTTGAATGCAATTTAAATTAAATTGAATGAAAGAATTTAATTATTATCAACAATATTAATAAAATTCTCCAAAGAATTCAATTATTTTTATAAATAAAAAATTTACTAATTCTACTATAAATTAGTAGGAATTACTATTTGTTAGTAAAATTTACTAATTCAAAAGCAGAATGTCAGTCAATAATTTAAATTAGTAAATATTTTTTGTATTTTTAAGTTAAATTTAGGAATGAAGATTTTTTCCGTAGTTTATTGAAGAATTAAAAATTATTAATAAAATTTAATATTTTATTTGTATTAAAATCTTTAAAATTAAATTAAAAATTAAAAATTAATTTATTAAAAATTAATTTCAAATTAATTTTCTTTTACAGAGGCTTTAATAATAGAAGAAATCAATTCACAATCCGATTTTTTGCTTCAACCGACTAGAGAAAACGACGCACCAACCTTAAAAAACAGGAAGAAAAAAATCAAAACTGCCATGTGTGCTGTCCCAATAATAATAATCGCAATCCTAACTTTTCTTTTCATACTATTTGGAATATTATCATACTACAGACTAATATAATTGACAAAAGTTACCGAACGAACCAAGAATACTGAATACTTATGGCTACCGAATATATACGAATGGAAAAAGTGTATCATTTCGAAGATTAGGCATATAATCCCTAATGGAATTGTAATTTGACAAAAGCCTGTTACATATATTTTATGTGCATGTACGAAAAGAATTAAATCAAGCGATGAAAAGAGGCTAAAACTATTATTCTCATGTGGGAGATTTTCGTTACGAGACATCGCGCTCATTCTTAATGTTGTTCGGGTTCGTGTCGAGTTATGGTCGATTAACCGTTATTAGCATAGAGAGAGAGAGATAGAGAGCGACGGTGGTTAATTTCAGCGGATCCGTTTACATCGATCCTAAAATTGTTATTGTGAGCGAGATCCTCTCTCTCTCGCTCGGTTGGTCCACACGTGAAGTTGACCGACTTAGCACAAACGCACCACAGGATTCCCAGAGGAGATTTAACGCCTCGTAGATCGCAACCTTCTTCTTCCCTCTCACTCCAAATTCTAACCGTTTACATTTCTTTTTTTAGTTTCGAAAAAACCTTTTTTAGTTTCTTTCATTCATTTCATTCTCAATTCTGAACATTCGATGTCATAATATCAAAATAAAGCTTCTTCGGGCGGTTTGATTAAAAATAATTAGACATCAAATAAAATAGCTGAGAAATATTAGCAATAGAGGCAAAAAATTGGGTTTTTACCTCGGACAGCTGAGAAATATTAGTAATAGTAGCAAAAATTAAGGTTTTTACTTCGGACAGCTGAGAAATATAAGCAAT